ATATCTAAGGACATACCTGACTAAAAAAAAACAAAGGATTTCTATGAGGAAAATTACAGAATACTATTACAAGAAGCCAAGAGTGATGTCCACAGATGGAAGAATATCACATGCTGGTGGATCAGAAGACTCAATATAGTAAAAATTTCAGTTCTATCCAAGGCACTATATAAGTTTAATGCTATTCCGTCACAAATACCATCATCTGTCTTCAAATAATTGGAAAAACTGATTACCAACTTCAAATGGAGAGGGAAGAAGCCCAGAATTAACAGAGAACTCCTCAAAAAGGACAGAGTCGGAAGGTTTGCTTTACCTTACTTTAGCACCTATAAAACAGCTACAGTGGTAAAAACAGTGTGGTATTGGTATAATGACAGATACTCACACCAGTGGAAAATAACCAAAACCCCAGAAATAAAATCTTCAGCATACAGACAACTGATTTTTGATAAAGGCCCCCAAAATATCAAATGGGAATCAGATGCTCTCTTCATCAAGTGATGCTGGAAAATATGGATATCTACCTGCAGAAAAATGAAGGAAGACCCTTACCTCACTTTATCTACAAGAATAACCTCAAGGTGGATCACAGACCTTGAGGTAAAACACCAAACTATTAGGCCCATCAATGAGGGAATTGGGCAGAGAATACATGTACTATCAGAAATAGAGAAGACATAAACAGAGGAGGTACAAATCGACAAGTAGGATATACTGTAGACAAAACACCTGTGTACATCAAAGAATTCACCAAGAGAGTAATAAGAGAGTCCACAGACTGAAAACATCTTTAGCAATGACACATCAAAGGCCTTATTATTAAAATGTAGAGTACTCTGCTAGCTTACAAAAAGAAAAAAACTAATTGCCCACTGAGGTAGTGGGCAAAGGACCTGAACAGACATCTCACAGGGGCAGAAATTCGAATGGTCAATAAACATATGAGAAAATGTTCCCGATCACTAGCCATAAGAGAAATGCAAATTAAAACAACTATGAGATACCACCTAACACCTTCAGAGATAGCCCAATTCAAAAATTAGAAAGTAACAAGTGTTTGAGGGCCTGTGGTGAGATAGGAACTCTCATCCACCGTTGGTGGACCTGTAGGTATATACATCCATTATGGAAATTGATTTAGCAATATCTAAAACTGATGAACATCGAGCTACCATATGACCCAGAAATCCCCCTACTGGGCATATACCCAGAAGTGGCAAACCATGGCCAGACATCTGTGGTGTTATCCACCCCAGGGACAAGGGAACAACAAGTGATCTAAAATCGATGGTGAAGAGATAGGGAAATAGATCTATGTACATGTATTTATATGTTAAGTATTAAGGTAGCAGACGGACATTGGGCCTCTACACAAGTACTCCCTCAATGCAAGAACATTTTGTTGTAATAACCCGGCACTCTGCGATGCTCATCGTCTTGACGCAATTGCTGAAGACAAAATGGGAGCATAAGCAAATATGGTGAAGAAAGCTGATAGTGTCTGGCTATCAAAAGATATAGCATTTGGAGTCTTAAAGGCTTGAAGGTAAACAAGCAGCCATCTAGCTCAGAAGCAACGAAGTCCACAAGGAAGAAGTACACCAGCCTGTGTGATCATGTGGTATTGAGGGGAGCCAGTATCAGGCATCAATGACCCAGAACAAAAAATCATATTGATGTGAATGAGGGGGAGGGCAGGGTGGAGACCCAACACCCATCTGTAGACAATTAGAC